CCCCAAAACCCCAAAACCCCAAAACCCCAAAACCCCAAAACCCCTTCCATAAATTGGAGCATTGAAATTGTATTGATACAGGATTATGACAAAATTGGTCATCTAGATGGTCGAAATAGAAATTAACAACTTTTACCATGCATAGGTTCTTTAGAATGATACACTTACTAGTTGCTAAACCGATATGGATCACCCCTCCTCATGATCGTGGAGAAATACAGTCATTTTGGTATAAAGATGATAAATCTTTTGCTCTGCGGGAGATTGAGTTTCCTCCAAGTAACTTTTCCCTTCAGATTTGATATCTATGCTATGTGAGTTATTTCAGAAGAAGGAAAACTTCATTACAACAAAATTTTGGTGGGCTTTTTTGATGTGAAAAATTGCATAGTATTTGGACATCTTTACAGTATTCCAAAGATGCCAAATATTATCTCACAGAAGCATTCACAAAGCAAACACTATAGCCTTGAGGGATCTTTTAACACCCAGGGTTAAGGAACGTTTTTGAAAATTCAAAAGTTTGCAAGGCTTCCTCAAAATTTGCATAATCAATGTATTAATTGTGAATATGCAGTGATAGAAGTAACCCTTATTCTATATTGATGTGTATCTCAGCTTTAGGTACCCTGATCTCGACTACTTACAGAGACTACTCCCAGAGGTATTTTTCTCCGTCTGTTTATCAGGGTCTAATTCTCAGGTTAGCTAAATTTTGATATAAAATCCAAAAATAGTGATGCTTAAATTGGTGTGTGTAAGAAAGGCCGTATGGATCTTTATCTCATAACAAATAATCAAACAATCAAATTCATGATAATACTATTAAAGATTTAATGATATACACCAACTCAGAGCAACCAAATTCCTATTTTAGGGTACTTCAGGTGCTTTCTTCAACTTACTTTTCCTCTAGATTTATATACAGAACTTGCTTGAAGGGATCTATCTTGTTTAACGTTATGTTCCTGCTCTTAATAGAGCTTTTAGATGGCTTCTAGCATTAACAAATAAAATATGAATGGACAACCATGACTGAGTGCTACTGTTCAGACCAAGAACACTCCAAAATTAGTAGGAGTTAGAGTATTTAGCCAAGTAACTCCAATTTTAAGTACTTTTATCAAATGGATTAACAAAGAAGCCTCATGGATGAGGTTCGAGAGAATGCTCCCAATTCTGGTCAAAAATATTCACAAAAAATCCGACTGAGGACTTATTGAAAGCGCTGAGAGAATTCTTATAATTATATCCTGGTCTTCATAGATAGTTAGAGAGCTCTAATGATAGTTTATTACAATTTTCTTCTATTTAAAATTATGGATATTTTTGAAAATATTCCCTTTTCTCAAAGATAGATTGATATTGAATGGTGATATGTACCTCAAAGAGTCAACATATCTATCAAAATGGAATGAGTTTAGCGATCTACCTAGTCTTGTCATCCCCAAGTCTGTCAGATTTGCAAAAAGAGCTAGTAAATATCCAATTGAAATGATTGCCGATACCTCCTCCTCTTTTCATGATTATAATCCTTAACATTGACGTCATTGATTAGCCTGGTCTACTCAAAAGGCTTTAGCAAATCTAGCCGTCATTATAAACCAAAGAAGTAGCTTTTAGACTCAAGAATTTGAATATTTTTCAGAATAAGTCCTCCATAATAATTTTATAAAATTATTTTAGCATGGGAAAACTCAAGGCACAGAAATTTATGCAAACTTAAGGAAAGTAGATCTAGGAATACGCATCAAGAGGTCTTAAAATGGAAGTTTAATGGCTTAAGCTTACTTTGCAAGCCCAACCATTTGATAGAAGCAAGCTTAAAAGGGAAGAAATAGAGAAAGACAGATGATTCTTTCTGTCTTTTAGAAGAACTGTACAGAGCTATTTTTCCAAACCCGTAAAAACTATAACCTAAAGTGGTAAACTAGGAGTTTAGAAGGCCCATTGATGAAGTTATTAGAAGTAATATTTATAAAAAGATGAATTAGTTGCTTATAGCAATGTTTTAGAAGAGACTTCTTACAAGAGAATCTTCTGCTCCGTACTTCGAGAGGCATTGAACATTGTTCTCTCAGAAGTGGAGAAACAGAGCCTTAGTATTCTCACATTTAAAATATTCACCTATCCTGTTGATAGTTCATTTTAATAGCAAGTCTTGGATAAGGATTTTTCATTCATTCTGGCCTGCTGTTCATGAATTATCGGAGTGTGTACATGAGAGAACAAATTTTGGATTTATCAACAGCCCTAAGGAGTAATGCATGCTACATCTACCCTGGCTAGCATGGCTCGAGCCGGCGGCTAGCACCCCCTTCATCTTCACTTTGAGATAGTTTTGTAATGCTTTACAAAATGGTAAGTTATTTACCGGTTTTGGACATGTTCTCTCTTTTTCAAAAGATCTGAAATCTTTGATAAAGTATTTCTTAAACTCCCGTAGAAGTCCTTTGAGGTTGGATGGTTTTACTGATGAATTAGATTGAGAAGATGCAGTCGTGCCACAAACTCATGGAGAGCAATTCTTGCTTAAAGTAGCTCCATTGCTTCTATACTGACTGCTAAGAGAGGAAATCTCAAACTCAGGAAGCAAATTCCTGATTGGTTTAATCTCGATAGATTTGAAATCCTTTTTCCATGGAGACAAGTCATAACTAAATGTGTCTGAGTTTATTGAGGTTGATCCTGCCTTCTTCATAGCAGTTTGGCTTGTCTCTTCTCCTTCATTGTCACTCAGATTGCTCTGATTTGAGAGACAAGTTGATTGAATTCCTTGTGAGAGAGGAACTATCTCTTTAGACTCCATATTCTTCTCTGTTAGGCTTTTCTTATCGATCCTATTCATCTCATTTTTAGAATCTACTGATCTAGATGTTTTCATCATTAAATTTTGGTCTAAATGTACCAATTCAGAGTTAAGATGTCCAACTGAAGCCTCTACATGCTGGTGTTTATCGTCCTGACTTTTAGAAACATCCTTCTTAAGGTTTAATCCAGTATTTGATTCAGGATTAGCAGGGTGGTTATCCATCTTTAATTTAATTTTAAGATGCCAATGCTCTTTTTATTGCATGGGGTTTTGGGGTTTTGGGGTTTTGGGGTTTTGGGG